AAATTTTTCTGATAGCATATTCAATCTTAAGTCTTTATAATTACGTAATAGGTAATTAAGTAATTGAAAACACAAGTAGATTAAGAAATAAAATCATTTGAATGAGAATAAATCTGATTTTGTCATATCCATGTTATCTATTTTGATTAAGTTTCAACATCAAATTCAAATTAATTTTCATACTTAGACGCTGACGATGACCTATTTAACCAAATAATTGAAGATTCTTTATATGTATATGATGTGATTAATATTTNCGCCATCTGTAGTACGATGCTACATTTTAGGATTACGTATGCTCCAACAAGGTCCATTTGAATATATGGATATCTACTTGCTGAAACGAATCCCAGCGTAGCTAACCATTACGTGATAGGCACGTTACCATAATCGAATAAAATAATTCGAAGTGGTCTGTATTCTGTCGAAACTACCAGACGCGGATCGCGATTTCGATCTTTTTGGATCTCATGAGCGCGTCGTAGACAACTCCAACAGAGCACAGACCAACTTTTACCTGCTGTCTTAACAGCGCGTTTTAAAAAATACAGACCACTTCGAATTACTTTGTTCGATTATGGTAACGTGCCTATCACGTAGCGGTTAGCTACGCCGGGATTTGTTTCAGCAAGTAGATATCCATATATTCAAATGGGCCTTGTAACCTTGTAAAATGTAGCATCGTACTACAGATGGCGTTTACCGCGCCATTTGTGGTATTTTCTAAAACACGTATTGTACTATGTAGTTTTTTTAAGAGAAAGAGATTATTTTTACAGTAAGTTTAAATTCTCTAGTTTTTAATTAGGGAAGAAATCCACAAAACCCAGAACTTTTAATTGTTCATTAAAAAGAAGCAGTTGCTAGTGCTAATCCACCTTTTACATTCAGTTATTTTTTTGAAAACGTTAAATACGAAAACCCGTAACAATTACCTACATGAAGAGTATAATAATTTCTTTGTTTCCTTTGTTGAATCCCACAAGGGAATAACAATTTTAACTACTACGGCAAATGTTAGTCTTTTCTGTACTTTGCTGTCATAAAAATGAACAAAGTTGCAATTTCACTCTTGTCTCGACAATCGCTAATGAATGAAATAAATTTTTTACTTTCCTATCTACAATGCAGCGACACTAGCATACATTGCAGAACTGAAACTTTTTTCGCTGACGTAGCTAGTCAATAATGCACCTTTGTAAAAGAGTAAGCATGTTCAGTAGCGCCTCTGAATAACTAATGGTTTATTCAGCATGGTAACGGCTGATATTGTGTTAACGTTAGCCCTTGCTTAATATAAGATATGCCAGTAAAATTATTGTAGGCTATCAGACTCTACTGTATTCTAATGATAAGTCTTCCAAGCTTACGACTGTTAAAACCTTTCTTTTGTTACTGTGTGGTTACTGTATTAGAACAGAAATTGTTCAATAGCATTAATCAATTTTACAGCTAATGTTTTTAGAACGACAGATATCAGCTGTCAAATTTGTTAGGTTAGGTAAGCAAAAATGTGCATCATATCGCAAAATGCAAATTTCATACTAATTCCTACAAGTAACATTAATTGTACCCTTCTTGCATTAACCACTATGCACAAAAAGCCTGCGCTATCATAATATTTTCTCTGTAATGACCTGATAAGATTAAGTATGATTCCAGCAGCAATCGCCTACAAATGTTAAAAACATTGATTCTGATGTTTACGTAACCCTTTGATTACTTGAACCCCTTCTTTCTATAAACATTCAGGAATGCCTGATTACATGTCTGCTTACCGATTTTTATAACTTCTTTAGCTTATTCATCTGTTACCCCTCTACAAGTTCTACATAAATTAAATTCAGCCACCTGGAATACATTACACAATGGCGTTGCGCTAATTTGAATAGAAAATTAAGTTAGCCCCTGGTATAGCGTTTTCGCGATAGGTAGATACATAAATTATTTGTTGGATTTCTTCGAGTTAAAATACAATATAAAAGTATGTAACGTGGGTCTTATTTCGCCCGGACACGCTCCTGGCTTTCACTTTCAATAAAGGGTAGCACATAAATTTCAAAATACGTACAACGACGCGGTCTTCCTCTTACGAAACGTTTGGGATTTACATTATTGATTCTAGACCATCATAAAAAAGTATTTGAATGTTGCCCTTTTTTTCGTTTGGCTGCTTTCCTTTCTCTCGATTATACATTACGCAAAGTTCAAATGTGCTCAAGGGGCTTGTAAAAACTGCTTATATAATTTTCCGACACGGACCTTGATTAATTTAAATGAAGGCAAATAAATTGTGTGTAACCTATTTTGTGCATGGAATTTTGAAATTAGGATTACCCACTATTGCACTGTTCGTCTTGTGGAGCCTGAGTCACTGTCTTAAAGATGAACAACAATTGAACAAAAAAAAAATCACCGTCCTTATCAAAATATATGTATGCAAGGGAAGAAAAAGTAGGGAAAGAGAGTGTATAAAGATAGGAGACAAAAAATTAGAAAAAGTCGCCGATTTTCGGTATTTAGGAGTTCAAAGGAACAGGACGGAAGGAGTAGTAGTTAATAGTAATAATAAAAAGAGGTCACTACTATGCTCGCGGACGATCAATTTAGAAATTCGAAAAAGATTCTTAAAGCTGTATGAATGATGAGGATACCGTGGATAGAGAAGGCTAGAAATGAACAGGTTTTAGAATGAGTAGGAGAAAAGAGGACTCTATTGTAGTCAATAAGGAATGGGCGAGATAGATTGGTAGGACACCTTCTCAGGTATGAAGGTCTAGTCAGCCAGAAGATTGGACATGCATCTCTACATCTTTCTACATTGAGCCAAACTTCGCATTTCTCGAAAACTAAAAAATCTACATCTCTAACCAAATTGGCGAATAAAAGTAAGGTTTACCCCTGCCTCCTCTTAACTGCTTCTACTGCATCTGTAACTACCCCTGCGTGTCTTAGAACTGAGAAGTTGTCTAATATATCGCTTATTCCCCAAGGAGTTCCTGGATTTCATAACGCCTTCCGTTCTCATATTCTTCTTAATTTCTCTTCATTTCTAATCTTTTCCATCCACATCTTCCTATAACACCACCCTACTATCTACCACCGAAACTGTCCAGGACATATTGAGGCTAGTATCGAAATAGAAATAGAAAATGGTTAGGTACACCTTCGTCTATGTATCATAACCAAAAATGCAGCAAACTTTGTAGCTGAATTTATGCTGTATTGATTACTTGTCATTGGTTATATATTTGTATGCATATGCAGGTATATATCAGGAATATATAAAGGTATATGCAATAACCACCAGCAAAATTATTTCAATAAACCTCAGATATATGTATCTATGTATATACAAAAGTCAATTGTGTGTTTATTTTTCTCACCATTAACCCTTGACAGCAATAAAACTGAAACAATGGCTGTCAATCAATATGTGCTTCATAATGCTAGAAAACAACTGAACAGCATTTACCACTTCCTGTATAATAGGAAGATCAATATTTCAAGAATTATTTAAATGCATATGTGTATCCGTCATGAAAATACCCTCTTTACAAATGCTTTTTGACTATTTTATCATTTGGCCTGGCTCCTCCACCAAATTATATTAACGTTAAGTAATTTATCTCGATCGATCTAAAATTTGCAATATTCTAAGAATAATATTTTCTGTTAGAAGATCGTATGATAAACAACGAACCAATAACTAACAGATAAATAGAAATTCACAGACATCGCATCTTTCGCATATGTCTTACGGGCATCTAAAATACCAGACACATAAAATTATATGCGTTGTTCAAAAAAAGTGATCGTGACTGTTTCAATTTGATCCTGAGTGTTATTAGCACCATAATTTATATCAGCGTTTCTAATTAGTGGGTAAATCAATAAGAAACTAGCATTCCTTAAAATGCAATAAAAGACTTCCGAGCGTCTCCAACTGCCCAAAATGTGAAAGGAATGAAAGTGGCTATAAGAAGAAACGACTTTTTTAGAAATAAAGAGAGCTATCTACGCGAAAGCATCTGCAGGCCAGTTTCGGTCCAAAATTTTCTTAGAATCATATTCAATTGTTCATGACTAAATCGCATTTTGTGTACACTTTTCAAAATTAATGGAATTCGAGGTTGAAATTTCAAATTCCGCCATATTGGCAAGTAAATGCCTTTTATTAAAAATTGCAATTAATCCTAACCACGTCATGATCATCATAAGGTCGTCAGTCCTAAGATTTGTTAGACAGGCACTTCTACTTCTTTCAATCCTGAGCTAATCTTTGCATTTCCCTAAAACTAGAACATCCCACATCCTCTAATATGTCTAGACCTTCATGTCTGAAAAGGTGTCCTACCAACCTGTCTCGCCTATTTTCTATTGACCTCCATAGAGTCCCCTGTTATCCTATTCGTTCTAATACCTCTTCATTTCTAAACTTCCCTATCTAAGGTATCCTCATCATTCGACTGTAACACCACATTTCGACAGCTTCCAACCTTTTGTTTTCCGCCGCGCCACCGTCCATGATTCGCACCCGTACAGCGCCGCGCTCCAAACATACACTTTTAACAATAATTTTCGAATTTCTAAATTAATTGTTCGCGAGAATAGAAGTGGCTTCATTAATTGAAGGCGACTGGAACTTATGCTATCGTCTGCTTTATTTCCCACCTATTCCTTCCGTCCTGTCTTACCTGACTTCCTAGGTACCTAAAATCAGCCACTTCTTCTAATCTTTCGTTTCATATCTTTATATTCACTCTTTCCCTACCTTTTCTTCCCTTGCATATCAGTATTTTTGTTTTACTTTTATTTATTTTCATTCAATACTGTTTTTTCAATACCGCTTCCATTCTATTTAAAGCTATTTTTAACTCCTCCTTGCTAGATGCTAATACCTAATCACCTGCAGCATACTAATCTTTTGACTATTTATCAATCGAATTATTATCGAATATTTTCTTTCATTTGCATTTACTTTTATTTGTGACTTATAGTGTCAGACGACTAGCAACCCCTTTCATACGTCAGATTTGTTGCCCGACGACCGTATTATTTTTCATAAGATGAATACTGTAATGTTCGTGGGTTTAACAAAATTACTTCTAAAACTGATAACGACAAAAACTATTTATTTACACTAATGTTGATATATCACTATTAATTGCGCTACCTATTTCACTGCTATCACTGTCAATTTATTTCTCGATTCACTTCTGCAACGGTCAATTTATTTCTCCTCTCTCGGCGATCGTCTCTTCCTTTAAATACTCGTTTGTTTACTTTCGTGAACCTTCTGGAAACGTTCGGATAGTTTATTTTTTCTTTGAACTGTTTAACTGCTTTCCCAGAACGCAGGTACGACACACACATTTACAAATACGGCGCACACGAAGAAAGGCGCCCGCGGCTAGTCGGCGAATCGATAAGCCGTTCCCGCACACGTGTGCCCGATCGCACACATACACACTCGTACTCGCTACAATACCATATACACAGCTCCAGCATTTAGTATTGTCAGTACTAAAACGCTATGGCTTTCTTATTTCTTTATATCGAATTCAAAGTGTGTATTGTTTGCTAAAACAATATCTATATTTTCCACACTTTTCTTGGTTAACAAGGATTGAAAACCCAATTCTCTAAGAGTAACGTGAGCCAACATTGATTTATTCGTGCAAATATTTGATCATTGTCACCATCGGTCTTTATCTTTCACGAAACGTTGCCGGGTCAAAGGGGCAATGAAGGCAAAATTAAAGATTTTTCTGCCGATAGCAAAGTAATCGTTCCTGTCATAGTTCGAGATTTATTACCCAATTCGAAAGCTCATGCCTGTTCTTTGACGATTTCGTAGTGAATTTGAACATAATTTTCTTCTTTCAAGCTAATTCGTGTAGCGTAAAAGACATTTTTTAACGATTCCGTACACGTTCCGAGAGACAGCTTTCAAAACGAAAACGAAAAACGATCGTAAACGCAGGAAGTCATTAGTAAATTGATCTCAACCTCTCAAAGCATTTCCTTTCTCTTACGTCCCATAAATTCATCATTAAAGAATTGAAGATTAGAAGATTTGACGTACTTTATTGTATGGATAATAACTTTTGCAAGACTCAAAATGATCATAGAATAAAGACATGCTGTGAAATTTTAGAAATGTATGAACGTTAGTCAACAATACCAACAGTGCTAGGAAATTGACATAATTGTATTTGATAATACTTTTCCATTTGTAAGTTAAATAAATGACATTATTCATCATCATAAGGTCGTCAGTCCTAAGACTGGTTGGACACGCATCTCCACTCATTCCTATCCTGAGCTAAACTTCGCATTTCCCTAAAACTAGAACAACCCACATCCTTAACTATTTGCGAACAGTAATCTAATATTTCTCTGACTAGACCTTCATGTCTGAGAAGGTGTCCTACCAATCTATTTGGCTTATTCCTTATTGACTTCCATAGGGNCAAATTTCAAGGTGATTCCATAAAAATTTACAATTTTCAATACGTAAATGCTGAGGGAAAACAAGAGACGGGCGACTAGGAACCCCTCCCGTAACGAAATAAACTTTTTATTTTAAATAAAAAATTGTTTGATTTATTATATAAATATTATATAAATTAGGTTAAGATGGACAAAGGTTTCTCTGATTTCCTCACAAATTTTTGCATCTCCCCGAACAGAAACAAAAATTTCTCCCACCGCTCCCATATTTTCTCAAACATCGCATGGTATCTACTAAAGATGAAGTAAAATTTAATTTAATAAATAGTAACAAAATAGTAAAAAGCAGTAAATTTGAAACTTCCCCCAGAAAAAAACTCCCAATGAATATTGATACTCACTTCTAGATGTATTGTTTCTATTTATTCCCCTAATTTGTATTATATGTAGAAATCAGGCCAACATAAGGGTTGTAATGTTTATTGGTCGTAAAGCCCACATCGACATTTAACCCTCTATTGCGGGACTTTTACATAGTAGATTTTTTGGTGAACTAGGAAAACAGGACGAGACTTAAATGTAGATTATGGCCCTTCTATTGACTTCATTTTTACTGTCCTCTATATTTCTGTTATATGACAGTAAAACAAGTGCTAGTCTATGTTTGTGGTATTTAAATTATTTTTTTTATTTTCCTTTCACATTTCTTTTGCTTTTATTGAGGCAATCCTTGACAAAAAATAATGAAACCGGTAAACGTGCTAATTTTATGATTGTCCGTAAAAAATACCCTAAAAGGGGGCTAATAAACCTAAAATCACATTTGTAATACCTTCCTATAATAAAATAAATTTTACAGAGGTCATAAACTTGAGGACATTCGAAGTGAAATAGCTCGAAAAGTTAAATTAATTTTTGAAACACGCTTCCTAGGCAGATACCTATATAAAATTGTGGAAAATCATTGGTGAAAAATGTTTACATCGGAATTTATAACGGTCATAGGTCAATGTATACTATATACATACGTATAATAAAAGCAGAAACGTCTTAGTTGCAAATCATATTGTTGTTCCCACAAGTAACTAAATATTGAGGAGTGATGAATTACAATCTCCCATTTGGTCGTTTAGAGCACTCTTTTTATTATTTAATTTATTTATTTCTAATACTTATAATTAATTTAATATTCCTTTTGTTTACCAAGTGCAATATTTTAAAATTTTCATTAAAACTATGTATTTGTTTGTGTAAATGTTTAACTACAGAAATGTATCTTTAGTTTGTCATTAAATGACCTGTCGGTTTGTCCTACATACACTTCATAACAGTATTCACAGTTCACTGTACAAATTCCTAATTTTGAATTTTTGATTTATAAATTGTGGAGATTATGATACAAGGTACGCAGGACAAACTACCAGGCCGTTTAAAGACAGAGCAAAAGAACATTTTAGTAACTGTAATAACAATTAATGTGACGGAACACTTCTACGAACGAAACTTCAATGAAATTCTTTTTTGTAACCATTTCTTTCTCCCTAGTTAAGCGATATGGACAAAAAATTGGATACTTTAACATACGTGTTAAACGCGTTAGCACAAAAGCACCAGATATCGATACGCATATGTGAAGAGGACGTATGAAAAGAGAAGAAACGTCAAAAAACACTTTCGTTGATCTGCAGGTATGTTAGTGAAATTAAATGTATGTTCTACCTAGTAATGTCATACGGGTACATTAAATGGTACACATTTGAAATTGTACAAAAAAGTTTAGATATCTTTTTATCATCTGATTGATTGTATAAAGTTTCTAAAATTCGAACTTTTTTTTTTAATGTCAAAAATTTCAATTTTGTATCGTACTTATTATATATATGAAAACTTTTCTCTAAAGTAAAAGGGATAAATATTAATTATTGATCAATTGTCGCCTTTTTATTGTTCAGAAGTTGCACTAATGCATTTAAAATTCAGAATGCAAACGTCATAATTACTAACACTACTTCCAAAATATCTACAGGGTGATTTTTATCTAGTTCACTAAATTCATGAATATATATATGTATATTAAGGAGGTAGTACATCTGAGCATGAACACGTTGGAGACACAACGAATACAAATCCTTTCAAGTCGATTATTTAATGTGGACTTACTTTCTATTGTGGTTTTATTAATAATCATTATCACCAGTCATTATTTACTAATTAAATAAGAAATGAAATAAAATGTTCGAACGCTGCGCGTTCAACGCCTCGGTCAGCTTCGTTTGTGTTCCGCATCGCCCTGCCTCGAACATCTGTGCAGTGTTCGTGCTCAGATGTAGACGCACCCTTAGGGTACACTGAATTTGAATTATAGTTTCTAACGAAATAAATGTCATATCAACAGGAACAAGATCACGAAATTGCAAAAAAAATATAAAGTTGTTCTGTGGGATATCTCAATTCGTTCATTTCTTTATTTCGTGATACTTTAATTTTAATTTGCTATTTGTTTAAAAGCGCAACTAATATTTTATAAAAAACTAATTTTAAACACATGTGTACATTCCACGAAAGAGACCATACACTTTNCCTCAAGGTAGGCCTAGTGGCGTCATCTCTTGGTTAGGCCGGAAACTTATCAATCCACCCTCGTATTTTGATTAAGTTTCAACATCAAATTCAAATTAATTTTCATACTTAGACGCTGACGATGACCTATTTAACCAAATAATTGAAGATTCTTTATATGTATATGATGTGATTAATATTTTTAGCTGTAATAGTGTTTTAGAAATAAGCAATCGTTTTGACTTGTTTATTTTGGAAACTCTTCCATGGTGTAGCCAAATCACAGCAAAAGCAGGCTCTGTGCATATTTTTAGAGTACCATTTTATTGAAACTCATTCGCAGATTGGAAAACAAAAATATTTCTCACAATTTTTTTAAAATTCGAATGACACAAAACTCCTTTCTTCTTGTACCATAAAATGTACATTCGTCAATAGCTGATTATTTGTTTAAGCTAATCGCTACCATAATAACAACTAACCTTTTGTAAATATGTAAGAGCCGAAAAAAGTGGGCCAGAAAGAATCAAAATGCGCAAAAAAGGCCTTGTATTTGTGTTATTAGTTTTAGTTTTAGATGCAGTGTTCGATGTGTTGGTGTTAAGTCATCACGGGGTTGGGTCAGTCCCTAATATTTCAGGTGGCGAAGAAGGCGTCGGTGCTGAAACGTCGGAAGTCGAAGAACCGCATGGACATGCCCGCCAGCACTCCCCAAGGCGACGCTCCATCCCGATACGATTCCGAAACAGACGTCGTCTATTACGTTGAGGAAACGAAGAACGCAGGTACGTCACTCAACTTTCCCTCTTTATTTTTATTGACTATCATCGAACGAATCAATAGTCGAAATTAGAGCAGCAACCCTTTTCATTGTAAACGGCATTTACCCCGTAAAATATAAGGTTCACAGAACTATGCGAATCGATGAAAAGTTAATTTTCTAGAAATAGATTGACTAAGACATGTAAAACAACACGGCAAATAAGTAATGAAGTCGAAGACAAATCGGTAACCTGTTGAAACTTCTCAAAAGTTGTCGAAAATCCTTGAGAAAAATGAGACACCAAGGTTACAAGTAGGGAACAATTATCCTTAACGATTCGTAAGCATCCTCTTAAGTGAACCACTAAGTACTACTATCCATTATTATTCCTCGAATAGGATATCCTTAGTCAAACAACCCTTATTTAGTAATATAGCGTCATCAATATACCGACATAATGGTAAAGTATCCAGTTTAATAGTAAAGTTACTAATGACCTGTATTGGTTTACACATAAACATAAACAACAATCAGCTGTTTACCCTAATATAGCTAATAGTACAGGTAATCCTTTAGTGAAAACAAGGATTAGTTACATAAATTAAGACACCTCTCGCTTAAATTTTAACTGATTATAATTGTTGAATTCACGATTCTCATTTCAATAATCATGACGTTTCCTTCTTCATGTTTTTCTTGGCTTATATTCTTCTCTTCTCCCTAAATAAAATCCTGGCTACGTCCGCGTAAAAATTCTACTAATTGTAAGTCTTGAAACAAAAGTGTCCTTATCTAATTTCTTTCGTATTATAAATGGCCTAAAGATGAAATGTAATCTGCGATTAAATGAACGGCAACACAAAGGAATGTAAGGCATGATTTAGCATCAGAAATCCTTTAATACGCCATAACTCCAACGTTTACAATAGGGACGATCTAAAGCTATAACTCAAGACCGCAGAAATTTTACACCCTAATCGTAAACCTTCTATTTTATAACCCTGACATCGCTTATCAAAATTCGTCGCATGCTATTAACTGCATTAATAAAAGTTTATAAGCTCTCGTATGAAAGGATAAATATATCCCTGTGTCAACAGTACAAAGCGGTTATAAAAATTATGCTTTTTATTTAGAGCACCTAGCAAACCATCATTCTGTGTTGTGTGGATGGAATTTAATAAAACTTCTAAAAAATAATTAAATACAACTTTTAAACCTCTTCATGTTTCATTTCCACCAGCTAGTAATGTTGGTGAGCGGGAAAATCCCTCTAACACAAAGCCTGAGGGGAAAGTCGAATGCCCCCTCCAACCTTCTTTTAGGAATATAGAGAATTGGTGTCTCTTTACAATTTACCTGAAGCTCCCATAAATTTCAAGCTTTAAAAATTTGTGACTGGCGAATGAACAGTGAATAAACCCATGACTGATTTAGCAATGGTTCCTTTATTGAAATTATACTTATTCTAAATAACATTTTAGCATAAACTTGCGCGCGCACAGCTAGCAAAAATTCAACAGAATGAAGTTAGCAACGGGGTTTGGACTAATCGACCGTCGCCGTTACTCCCTGTTACAGTTATTTTTGAGTAACATTTGCGCGTGCAACAACATGAAGTTAGCAGCAGGGTTAGGAACAAAGTTATTCGTTTATTAATGCAAGTTGGTACCTAAAAGCTAGACAAAGCAACACTTCACAGTGATATTAATGTTTAAACAAATAGGTACAAAATAATTAATTAACTATTATGTATGCACCTGTAATTAAAAATGTACCTACTTAAATAGAAGTACCTATTAATTTTATTTCGAATGTTGATTCCTTACGGAATACATCCCCTTAGTACAAACTTTTTTCGATCTAATTTACTTTTCTAAATAAATTAAATGCACTTGAAAGTTCAATGTTCAATTCTCGTGGTAGTTCAATTCTACGTGTTCCTGTTTTTCCCCGGAAAAGTTTCAATCTATTTTGACTGGATGAACGAACGCAACACAACGAAATGCAATTCAATCTAAAATCAATTTTTAACACAAACACGGTGAAAAATACAATAGGCAAAGATAACATGAAAGATAAAGTAACATCTGCTTCGTCAACAACATTAGGATGAAAACGTTTTGTTTATATTTACGTTGAAAGAAACGGAAAAGAAGTGGAAACTGAATGTTTCATTTATCATTTTAGCGGAAATAAAAAGAAAAGAATGAAAATTATCTTTTGTTTTTCTCTTCCTTTTAGACAATGCAAGAATAACTTTTATCTACTAAGTCCACAATTTCTCGTAAAGTAGAAACCGAAATCAATTATTTATCAACCAAGTGTTTCTAAAAAAAATATGAAGCAGAAATTTATTAAAAATTAAAAAATTAAACTAATAACTGCCTAGAGATTTCTGTTAATTTTCTACACTTTAATTTTCTTAATTTTTAAAAAACGGATTAGTTCGAAACTATTTAAACTATAGGTCTAACCAGCTCATACAAATGTCTCCAATTTGTTAACTGAAACCATCTTTAAAACAATATATAGATCAAACACTGAAATCATTACTGAAATGGATTCAGTAATTTATGAGAAGCTCCCGAGCAAATTGAAACCAAAAACTCTTCCCTTTTTTAAATCTACGTATTAAATGTCATTCGTGATATGAAATACTTATCAACTTATCATATTTTATGTACGATCCCACAGGGACGCCGACGAATAGGAGTATGAGAACAGGAGATAGGGAGAACTCCAGAGGGGCCATCTTCACGAGTCAAACCAGCACTGTGACGGAAGCAGCCAGTGATGAGATTGATGATCTTGATACAGAACTACCACGTGTTACGCAGTACGTAATGTAATGATTAAATCAATGCAGTGCCCAGATATCGAAAAGCAGAACTCAAATGGAGAACAGAATTTATTTTCGAAAATACTTAGCTGAAATTGTAAATCTAGTGATTGATGCATTTCGTCATAAAAAAATATACATTTTTCAATTTTTTGCTCACCATAAACTACCTCAGGTTTATGAGAGAAAATTTGGTGCTGCTGTCACACCCTCGCCGGGAATCGAACCCGGAACCATTGCATTGGTGTGTAAAATCAAAGGTCCCGGGTTCGATTCCCGGCGAGGGTGTAACAGTAGCAATAAATTTTCCGTCATTTATCTGAGATAGTTTATAGTGAGTAAAAACTGAAAGATTAATTTTAATATAAATACAGTGTAAACTCTATATAACGACACTTAAGGGACTGAACATTTTTGGGCGTTATAAAGAGTGGTCGTTAAATGGAGAGAAATAAAAGATATTATTTTACTATTCTATAATAACATGCATTTACCAATGTAGTACACATATTGCACACGAACATTATTATTCCTACATTGCGTATAGCCTGTTATCTTCGTCTGATGTTTTTTGCTGCTCCAATATTTTAATTGTATTTTGTTACGTATCTTACTCATATCTTGAGATACTGCTGGATCAATTTGATTATATAAAAAGTATTTTTTTAATAGTTTCGCTGCATCAAGTGCTTGTTTGATGCTTGGTGGAGG